CAAAGCCTAGCAATCTGAGACCAAATGACAAAATGTTATGCAAATGGGATGGCCGGGGAATGTGAGTAAATCTGTCTACCAAACAAGTGCAAAGTGGATTGCACTGTTGATTTGCATTGGGAAATTTTAAAAATCCTTCAACCAAACACTACCTTATGAAATCCAAAATCGAAACCTGGGTTGTGTTGTAATATATGGTGATTGCATCGCATTATAAATGAAAGCCTCTCTCTCTCTCTATATATATATATATATATATATATATATATATATATATAACATTTTCTTCTCTTAAAGGAGCAAATTTTTCTCTTACTAGTGACTCGTAGCATAAGTGGGGTCCACAAAATAGTGGAGAGAAAAAAAATTCAAAGTGGAACCCACTTATGCTTAAGTCACTAGTAGGAGAAAAATTTTCTTCTTTAAAAGGAGAAAATATTTTCCCATATATATATATATATATATATATATATGATGTAGGATCATTTGACTCCAGTGTCAAATTTAAAATTTGACACCTCATCTGAGAGCCGTTAGATAAAAAAAAATCAACAATTCAAATTTGTAAGTATGTGACACCATTGATTTTTTTTTTATCTAACGGCTCTCAGATGAGGTGTCAAATTTTAAATTTGGCACTGGTGTCAAAGGATCCTACCTCTATATATATATATATATATATGCTTTACAATTAGATTAACCAGTTACACAGATTAATAGGTAATATGTCTCTTCAGCTGTAGGAAAGAGAAATTATCCGCTGCAGTCACATACTTTTCAAGATACGATTCCATATTTTGTATCCTGAAAAGTATGAATCAGCTGGAGATAACTTCTCTTCAGCAACATGAGATTAATAAAATCATAAATTAATTTATCAATTTACATAATCCCCCCCGTATAAAATATGAGTGTGTTGTTTACCAAAATAAAATAAAAAATGAGTGTGTTGGGATGAGGGCGGGTTGAATAGTTTCTTTTTTACTTGCTCTATGGTTAAGTTATTTCTTTGGTAGATTCAACGTTATATGTTTTGTAACCGTAGTGGTAAGTTCATAACTCATTGTTGTATTATTATTTTTTGATATTTTAATTTATGTTTATGTGATAAATAATTTTTTAAATTTTTAGAAGGATTAATTCACTAACCCGCCACAAAATAAGAGAGATTGATTTTTTAAACAATTTTTTAAGAAATAAATCAACTGATCTCAATCAGTTTTTGTCTGACTATATAGCCCAATTCTCTATACGTACATAATTTATTAATATTCTTTGAGTAGCCCAATTAGATTTACGGGCCTCTATTTTTATAGCAAAAATCAAAACCGGGCTTCTCCTCATAATATTTGGTCCCCAGCCAGCAACACATTCCGTTTAGCAAATGAGAAAGGCTACGACCAAAAAAAAAAGTTGAGAAAATCCGGAAAAAATAAGCATAAACAATGTAAGGCATGTTTTTTAAAACAATGTAGCTCACTTGGCAAGTAAGTGCCTGATGAATTGCTTTACTCAAGATTTAAATTCTTAACCAAAGCAATTCTTCCGAATTTTTCGGAGCCAGACAGAAATTGCCTCTCTCTTAAAGGGGGGATTAATTTCATCATTCTTTCGGTTATAGTGGTCCCATACATCCTCTGTTTCAATGGAAGTTAACCTTTAGGTCTATACTTCGAGGACAAGGTGATCAGTTGAAGTTGAGTGAGGATACCTCTAGGTTACATGCCAAAAAAAAAAACAACGTAGAGTACACGTTCTCTTTTTTCAAAATTATTTTTGAGAATTATACGCTACTCTTCTAAGGTGAATTTTCATTTTTACACTCTATTGGTGCAATTATGCTTCAATATTATTAAATTTGTGTAAATTTAAATTTTCTTTTTAAAATGATATAAATTGTAAAAAAAAATAGGTCTTAACTTCGATTTAGTAATAATTTTTTTGGGCATCACAACTTAAGTATTATATTTAATTTTGCAATATTAATTTTATTAAATCATTTTCTTGACACATGATTTAAGATAAGATTAGTTTTTAAATTATTTTAGTAAATCTATAAGCTTGCATAGTCTAAGGTATTGGCTTAGGGCCATGAGTCACATTATTTAGAATTTAGGGAGCATTTGGTGAGAATTTTTTTTTTAATATGAGAATCATGATTTCTAGGAATATGGTGAGAAAGTGAATTTCCTGAGAATGTGACCAAAAAGTTATTTGGTATGCCAAAATATTACCGGGATTACTTACTTAAGTTTACTGAGTATATGTTTGATTGATTGTTAATATTACTCGGAATGTGGGGCGATTTTACAAATATAACCTCACAACGCATCCAAGAATCTCACGACAATCCTCAGCTAGGGGTGTAAATAGGCTGGGCTTTGGTCTTCCTAGCCTAAGCCTACGTGAAAAAATATTCAGCCTATCTGGCCTACTAAAGGCTTTGTTTATAGGCCAAGCCGACCTATTTTTAAAAATTAGAGAGCCTGATATGGTCTACAGGCCTTGTAGGCCTCCCTCGTGATATATTTTTACAAAATTTAAAAAAAAATTAACAATTTTTAAAATATTCGCTTGACATTACAAGTAATTAACGTGTTCATAAATTGCTGCATTTTTTTACATGAGATATAAATTTCACTAGTGAGCATTAAAAATTTTACAATAGTAAAAAAAATAACTAAAAAAATATACTGAGCAAAGTTCCATTCATGCATGCACTAGTACTTCTCATAAGAAATAAAAAATGACAAACAAGAAAGAGTCAACATAATACCTCATCTCTATAATGTATATCAGAGAGGAATAGAGTCAAAGAAATGAGGAAAATAAAAAATACAATTACTAAGTCAACCAAAGCTGAAATAAAGTCTACAAGAGAATATCATTCGTTGAAATATCTTTAAACCACCATCAAGACAAGGGTTGATACTAATTGCCACCTAAAATAAATATTTTATTTTATTTTTAAAAATTAAATAGGCCAGCCTACAAGGCTTTAGGCCAGACTTGACAAAATGGGCCTATGGCCTATTTGTTAAAAGACTTTCTTATAAGCATAAGCCTACTCTACTTTTCAATGTAGGCTGGGCTAGGCCAGGCTCAAAGTAGGTTGAGCAGTAGGCTAGGCCAGGCCAGCCTGACCCATTTACGCCCCTATCCTCAGCCTCCAAAAATCCTATACATCCAAGACCATAAAATAACTGAATTTGCAATAAAAAAACTAGGAATCAACTCAGCTAGTCCATTTTCTAGTCTGAATGTTATAAGAATGGATCGAATTTGTGACTCTAGCTAACCCTGAAAAGTAACAGGAAACAAAAGCTAATTTTCAAGGAAAAAAGTGAAAGAAAAAAGAAAGAAGCAAAAGACACTAAGACAGAGAGAAGAAAAAGAGACAGGGTGGTACAAATGGCGGGAGGGAACTGATGAAGATCCTTTTTTAATGGCGATGATAGAGAGAGTGAAAGGAAGAGAGATAAAGAAATTGAAAAGATAGTAAGGGTATTTTTGTCAGAAAAAATATAATTTTTTTTCCCACAGAGCAGGAATCCAAGATTACCACTCCCGATGATATTTTGATTTAGAAAATACACACAAATCGAAATCCGAACAAAATCATTTTTTTGAATTTTTTTTCCAAAATGAGCTACCAAATATGACTTCCTAAAATCCCATCCCCACTTTCTCGGGTTTTCAAAATAATCTCCCTACTAAACACCCCTTAGATTATAATAAAGTATTTGCTTCGAATTCGGAGACGGTGATAAAGAGCCAGTGTTACCTTTAAATATAGCAGTTTGGACCGTGCCGGCCATTTATCTTCACAATGCCGAGTGTAATCCTATGTCTGGAACTAGAAGTTTAGTACAAGACGAAATGGTGTGCAAATAAGTGTAAGATAATATTTGTCATAGCCAGGGATGATTTTCAGTTTTCGATTTTTTGAAAAGTCTAAGATTTGTATGATGATTATTGTGTAAATAACATATCTTTTATATGTATCGGCTTTGTAAAGTTTGTATGATGATTATTGTGCAATCTAGAAGTATTGTACAATAAATTAAAAGTTAAATCATCATCATTTACTTCCAACAAAAAATTTATAAGATGGTTGTCTAAGATACGAAATAACCCAAATTTTCATCTTATAGAAGAGTTGCTATACAACAAAAACCTATGTAATAAAAATATATTATATATCGTACCAAAAAAAATAGAGCATAAACCATTTTTTCTCCAACATGATGTGTTAATGGGTCTTAGATTTAGAATTTTGCTATATGATTGAGGAAAAGTCCAAGTAGGTAGATGATAAGGTTGTGGAATCATTGGATGGATTTGGACTAGATCGGTCCTAACTATTTAGGTATGCGCATCTTCTTCTAACGCAAACTTCACCTGGTTATATTGATTTGAACGTCGGAGTTTTTTACGTGCACACCACCTCTTGCCCATTGTAGCCTGCCCAACCACCATTGCCCCTTGTTACTTGTTACTCTTTCTTCTATTTTGTGTGTTACAATCATGAAGATAAGGAAAAGACAGGACCTTTCTTTTAATTCTACGCATTTGAAGGTTACTTTAACGGTGAATTGGTGACTTCAATAGTTTTCAATTAGACTTCTCTAACGTTCACTTTACCATTTTGTAGAGCTTAGCAATCGTAAATATTATTAAAGAATCGTGAGGGAACGGTTCGTGTTTCACAAACTTAATAACTTTGATACGAATCCTTGATCAATCCCATCTTTGTTAGCTGTTGATAGCGACAAAAAGTGGAAGGTTTTTGCCTTTTGGTTTGGTAGCGCTTCGCAATCATATGGTTTTTGGAATCGTTTATAGTTCATAAAGTGAACGGTTCTTAATGCATAAACTTAATAACTTCGATAACTGGTAGTCATATATATATTTCACTTTTTAGCACGAATATACGCTTTTCCTAATTAGTCCAATAGCTGAATGAAATAATGGAATAGAAGTGTAATATTATTGGTTCAATTTTCGAAAGGTAACCATTCTTCAAATCAACGTATATATCGGTTACAACTTCACAAATCAAGACACAGCAGTTTTTCCCGCTTCTGTGTAGTCTCCATAATCACTATCATCACTTGCCGCTTTCCTCCGAAAGTAACTATAGTGTACATACTGCAATATTATCTGTCATTGTTAAGGTTTAGCAACTTTAGCCATAAACATATGTATAGCTCTTGAGTAGCGTTACAGTGAAGACTTTATTAAGAGAGAGTAGCTCATCAACCAAAATAACAATAAATTAAAAATCATCATCGAAAACTGCATATATAGGATACAAATAGGTCCAATGCCACGCAAACTATAGCATCCAACAACCATGACATATTAGCTTTGATGCTTTCCCATTCGGTAGTTCGTACAAGAATGCTGCACAGACAACAGGAGTTAGATCACTTAATTTTAGTTTTATCAGAATAGTAAGAAGCAAAAGGGAGGGAGTAGATTCTAACCTTCCAACGTAAGTTGCGTTAGCAATAAGTGCAAAGATGAACATGAGAGGATTTAAGCCCTAATATGATAAAAAGTGATAGCATCCATAAATCAGTGGAGATATATACAAGTTAATCTGTGCACTTGTTTTCATAATTCGAAGGCAAGAAATGATTATGATTAAATATCACCTCAACACTTCCTCTTTGAATCTGGCCAATGATTGCGTACACAACAAATTTTTATCAGTAATTATAAGGCACAAAAAATAAAATAGAATCCAACTGTAAAAGAATATTCCAAACTAAAATAATAATAATAATAAGTTTGACACATACGTTCAACCATATTTGAGGAAACCGGCCACCCATATAGATTGCAGCCATGACCCATCCTAACCATTGACCCAAAACACTGTGTGTGTGGTGCTCCTGTGATGAGTTCTAGTAAGTAGCAGCAAGCAAGTGCAATTATACAAAGCGACCAAACACTGTAGAAATGATTATAAGAGTGTGTTAAGGTACCGGTACCACTTCCTAGTTATACCTGCAAGACTAGTTTTCTTCCTCTCAATCCAATGTATCCCTCTTTCAAAGCATTACCGCTCATGGGCAAGTAAATCGATGCTGCTAGAAAAGTTCCATAGATTCCCTGAAACAGTACACAATAATGCATGAGCAATTTAATGGTTTAGTACGTATTTGTGTAACATTATTACAAGTTCTATAGGTTCCTGCAGTTGCATTTTATTCAATGAAGTAAGCAAAGGAAAGACTCACAGCCACAGAACGAGGGATGGGTATAGGCTTTGTAAGAGGAACAAGAGATGCCTCGTCATCAGAAGACGAATCATCATTCAATTCCATAGCTGGAGGGCCACTTTTAGCAGCTCTCATGTAGGTACCAAATGGTGGAGTACCAATACCAGCCAATGATCTCGCTGATCTGTTTAATTAATTTACACAACAATAAAAATTTACTTAAGATAATTTCTTAATCAATCATTAAGATCTACGAAGCACCGACTCCAACACGGCGTTTTCGATACGTTCCAAATACGTTCTCGGTACGACCATTAATTCGTTGATACGATACAATACGTTTCCGATAGTATCGGATACGTTGGAAAAACAAAATCGGAGTATCGGTGCTTCATAGATTAAGAGTGCTATGAAATTATAGCTTAGCATGACAAGTAACAACATGGGTACGTACGTATAGTAATACTCCCGTCGAGGTGTTGCTTCGGGTCTGCCATTTTGTATTGGAATCCCACATTCGTGGCCTGGTTTCGGTTTCAATGGTTTTTTCTCTTCTTCATGAGCCTATTAACATAATATTGTAATGAATCTGGTAATTTGAGAGTATGATTTAATTTAAGGAATCTAGTAATTTGAAACAAAAAAGATCACTGCATATGAATTTCAATCTTGATTAGCAGAACCGGGCATTAGTAATTGGAAATGTACCTCTTCGTTTTTGATCTGGTGACGACGCTTGGACCATTTATAGATGTAGTCATAATAGAAGCTTTGTAGCACTAATACGATCGTACTGATAGTGTAAAGCTGTCAATCACAATAACAAGTGCCATTAATATCAAGTGAAGGTTACAATGTTAATAGGTTACAAAATGTAAAACAAATAATTACGGGAAACAATAACAATAATAATAGTAAATTACGTTATACGTAACAATAATAAGATTAAATTTTATTTTTTAAGTAAACTGATGTGGACATAATTTTTTATGACTCTAATTTATAATTTGGTATACGTAATAATTAATTTTTATATGTATGTATCTTCTGATCAGTAATAAAACATAAAAAAAATAAGAAATTAGCTGCCTGGTAAAGACCTCTACAGTTGATTGCGAATATCTGACTTTTTGATCATTGTGTCCCTTATTAAATAACAAATTATCACTTTGCCCTCTTACCAAAATTATACATCAATCTGCTCTGTTTAACTGTTAACTGGACCATGTAATCAATTATATCAGTATACGGTAATAGATTATATCAGTGAACGGAGCCATATAAATTTTTTTCATGAGATTTTTTGAATCAAAGGAGTTTCTATGATCATATATTCACAATATAGACTTAAGGAGGGGTTTGGTGGTATCACTAGACTTACTATGACACTAAATTTGAGATATTTTACCGTAAAATTTTGGAAATCATAACTTTGGCGTCGGGCTCGAATCAGGTGATTATTTTAGTCAAATTTTTTTCAAAAAAATGCTTCATTGTGCTCCAATACTAAAAAGTAATCATTCCAGCGTGTAGATCTCAAAAAGTTACGTTGAATAAAAAAACACCTAGTTCGAACCTTCGAGCCAAAAGTTACGTCATTCCGAAGTTTTATGGTAAATTTGAGCTATGTAATCGATTACAAGAACCATATTATTGATTACATCAAAAAGTTAACGGTTAAATAGGGACAGATTGATGTTAAGTTTTAATAAAAGGTCAAATTTGTAAATAGTATAAAAATGAGGACATACTGATAATTGTTATTTTAAAAAAGGGAAAATTAAAGGGTCAAAAAGCCACAAATATCTATTATCAAATCTTACTTTGAATTTAAAATATTCGTACAATACACAGGATTAGAGTTACTATTTTATACAATTTATAAACTTTCCTTCTCCTTACGATTCCCTTTTTTAAAAGGGAAAAAGAAGAAGAAAAAATGAGACAAGTTTTATTTTTTGTTTTCTTGTTAAAGAATAAGTCTAAGAAGTAAGTAAATGATATTCTCAATGAGTTGGCTTTGAGTATATGGACACGGCTTCCCTTATATATTTTGGTGATTGAACCCACTCTAATCTTGCAACTAAATCTTCAAATATTATGTTTGCGTTAATGGACCATGATTTCAAATATTTGAAGGATCAGAAGTTTTAATTTGAAACACTAAACAGAATTAAATGTTTCATAATCACGTATTTTAAAATCCAATTTATAAGACCAGTAAGCCCAAAGAAAAAAGAAAGAAAGAGAATAATATACATACAGAGGAAATTAATGTTTGGATTTTAATTACCAGAGCTGTGTAGTATTGGGTTGGCAACTGCATTTCCAGCCGTCCAAAAAAGCAAGAAGAAAAACAAAATACCAAAACGAAAAGAAAGTAAGTCCACAATCACAATGTTTAAGTACAGTACATATATAAAATTATAGACTTAAAGCACTAAAGAACAAAAATAGCAACCGTGTAAATGACAATATATATTTTGATAACAGAGACGAAGGCCACCCAATAACAGAGACGAATTATTTTAGCATATTATATATAACATATGGTTCAAATTCACATACCGTAGCTGGTTCGAGAAGACAACCCACCAGGTTGAATATGTCGCTGCATCCAAATAATTTAAGAAAACAACTGTTAGACTAATTATTGTTGTACTAAAAGTGGCCAAAGAGATTTCGTTAAAATGAACAGAAAATGAAGGAACGGTAGTGTGGGGAGAGCGTGTAAAATACAGAGTACTGTGATTATATAAATGAATTAATAAATGGCAAAAATTTGACGAACCCGGCGACCCAAGTGAGGAGAAAGACTAGGGAGACTCCATTGCTGGACTTAGTGCGAAAGTTGGTGATTATTTGAGGAATTTCTGCGATTCCCCAACATATTAGACTGATGAAACCGAAGCCGAACGAGATTTCATCTTTGATATTGCATAGACAATCATTGAAGTATTTCTCAACCCAACCCACACATGGTTTACTCTCCTTCAAGCAGTAAGAGGGCGACATCTCTCTCTCTCTCTCTCTCTCTCTCTCTCGTTTTGTTTGGAGTGGGAGAGGTTTAAGCTGGTGGTTTTAAAGGAGGTGTGAGCCTCCTGAAATTACCAAACAAGACGCGAAAATGAATTTAATATTAGTGAATATTCTCGGTTCTAATTTTATTGTACTTTTTGGGTTTAGTGTGCAATTTGCATATAACAAGAATTGAGTATTCTATTTACAGAAAAAAGAAAAAAGAATTGAGTATTCTTACCACTTGTTAGGCATATTCTCTCTTGCGACAGACATTCTCAAGTGAACCCCATGTGAGTCCCTGCATATTCCAAATTACATGATTACATTAATATTGTGAGACAAAGTTATCTTCGTTGATTGACCAATTTTTTCTTTTTTTCAAGAAATTTAATGATTGATTTACTTTTTAAATTATATATTAATTTTTCCATATACCCTATATTAAAAGATAAAAATATTTCTCAAGTCACTTGAAGTGATCTTATATCCGGTCACTCCAAACCTATGACGTTTTGGGATGTTAGGAGAATTAATAAATGATGTTTCTAAAGTAAATGTAAATAAGTTATCTACATTCGCTCCAAAAACGACGTCGTTTTGGATTGAAAAATTAAAAAATTATAATGAAAAAGACTATTATAACCCTGAAATAAATTATAATTACAAAATACCTTATTTTCATCTCAAAACGACGTCGTTTTGGGCTCACTGTAGATAAGTTATAAGTTATCTACATTGACCGAAGAAAAAAACCCATATATGAATTTTTTCAAAATAACATTCATTAATTCTCCTAACACAAAAAATGGCATTGTTTTAGGGTGGTCGGATATAAGGTTATCTCAAGTTACTTAAGAAATGATAAATCTATATTAAAAATAAATTATAAATGTGGCATAATTTCATTTGTTATCTAATATTTACTCGAATAAATATAAAAAAATATTAAATTAACAAAATAATGGAATAAATAAAAAATCAATAACCATAAATTTCTTAACAATAATGAAAAAAATTAATAAAGAATTTCCAAAAATTAAAAATTCAATTTACTCAATTCTTTTTTCTTGGCCAATAAGTAAAGAAAAAATTAATAATTATCAATTATAAATTTGATATTTTTGAATTTATTGGTATTTCAAAATATTATTGTATAATCATATTATTATCATCAATAATTATATTATTATTACTATTAATTATTTTTTTTCCAATTTTCTTACTTACCAAAAAAATTAAGTGGATTGGATTTTTTTGACAAAAAGGAAAAAAATTCAATAGTCAAATTATCACTATTATATATTTTATATTTTTAAATTTCCAGGATATTAAAATATCACCGTATAAATAAGAATCACATTTTAAAATTGATGCAAATTCAAAAATAATAATTAATTATTGATTTTATTTTATTTTTCTTATTTATCTAAAAATAAAATCAAGTGGATTGAATTTTTTGGACTGAAAGGAAAATAATTAATGACGTTTTTGAATATTTAAGGATTAAGAAGATTGCGCCATACAATTAAGTATTATTTATGATTTTAATTATTATTTGACTTAATAAATTTAATAATAATTTTTAATCTAAAACAAAATTCAAGTTTAATATTAAGATTTAGGGTTTAGATCAAATATGAACAAATTGGCATACTATTTAAAAAGTGAAGCAAATTGATAAAAAGTTTGTAAAGAATGAGCAATTTGGTTAATCAGCCGTGTGTTATCTATTTACATGTGCGCTCACTGCCTATTTCTTTAGCGAAATTGGGGTTTTAGACTTTCCAAGAGACAATGGTTAATATGACACACGAGAATATGGAGAAAAGATGATGTTGAACTTGGAAACCATGTTGACATTGTACCAAACATAAGAAATTCTGCTGCATCAATTATTATTATTAGGGGAATATATGCTTTCTGCAATACGACAATAATTTTTTTTTTCTGCACTAATATATTTTGGTGGGCTCCATTATAAAAAGAAAAAAAATTAAAAAGAATGCAAGCATAGTTTTTCATGTATCAGCAAGAATAGTCTTCCTTTTCCTGTTAAAGGACGGATGTATTTACCTTATAACTATTATTATTATTATTATTTCACGTAGTCCTAGTTCCTAACCCTTAAAACATTATGTTTTTATGGTATCAACGAAATTAAAACGGACAGAAGATGTCAATAAAGTGTTGACATTATAGTACTGTTTTTTCCGTACTATTTTGTTTATGATAACAGAATATACTGAACTGAACGTAGTTGAGTGAGGAGTAGGTCCTTAACAGCAAATAATATTCGCACATTCACAGGATATATAGAACTGTAGTTTCGCATAACATTAATGAAAATTAATGATTAAAATTTAGTGTTAAATTTCAAACTTTGATATCAGTGTCAAATAATCTTACCCATATATATAATTGACTTCGGTATAAGATTAAGAAATTTTATTTCTCATCTCAGATGTTGATTTTTATCCATGTGATGGTTATAATTTATTGAATTATATCTATTAATTAATTATTAATTTTAAATAAATTACAACCATCATATAAATGAAAATTAACAGCTGAGATGAGGAGTAAGACATTTTGATCTTATACTAGAGTCAAAAAAATTCTCCCACTTTATATATATATATATATATATATATATATATATATATATATATATGTACCTATAGGAAGGTTATATTTACAATCTTTTTTTTTTACGACCTCTTACAACCATATCTTAACACCGTTGATTTCCGCCAATCAATAGTTATCATTTATTGTGAATTAATAATTAATTAATGAGTTTAATCTGCGAAAATCATAACCGTTGATTGGCGGAAATCAACGGTGTTAAGATATGGTTGTAAGAGGTTGTAAAAAAAAAGGTTGTAAGAATAACATATCTCATATATATATATATAGGGGTAAGAATTTTTGACACCAGTGAAATTTGACACCTCATCTGATAGCCGTTAGATCAAAAAAGATCAATGGTGTCACATGCTTACAAATCAGAGTCGTTGATCTTTTTTGATCTAACGGCTATCAGATGAGGTGTCAAATTTGAAATTTGACACTGGTGTCAAAGGATCCTACCTCATATATATATATATATATATATATATATATATATATATATATATATAGGGGCAGGATATTCTTACACCGGTGTAAGAGTTAGAAGTCTTACACTCAATCTTGATCATTGATCCACTTGTATCCAATGGCTCACGTTACTAAAAAATTTGAACCCTTAGATATAAGTGGGATCAGTGGACAAGATTGAGAGTGTAACTTACACTGATGTAAAATAATCCTGACCCATATATATATTATATATATATGGGGCAAGATATTCTTACACCGGTGTAAGAGTTAGAAGTCTTACACTCAATCTTGACCATTGATCCACTTGTATCCAATGGCTCACGTTACTAAAAAATTTGAACCCTTAGATATAAGTGGGATCAGTGGACAAGATTGAGAGTGTAACTTACACTGATGTAAAATAATCCTGACCCTATATATATATATATATGTATATATATATATATATATATATATATATATATATATCAGGATCATTTTACGCTTGTGTAAGACTTAACTAATAAGTCTTACACCACATCTCAATCGTTGATTTTCGTACATCCAACGGTTATAATTTAGGAAGTCATACGAATTAATTAATATTAATTAATCATTAATTACACTACAAATACTAACCGATGATTTCCGTCCATCAACGGTACGTTGAGATGTGGTGTAAGATTTGTTAGTCTTACACTGGTGTAAAAAGAATCTGTCTATATATATATATAAGGTTAGTATCTTCTTAAACCTGTATAAGAATAATAAATCTTACACTCAATTTTAATCGTTGATTTCTGTAAATCTAACAATTGTAATTTATTGAAAATTAATAATTAATTAATGAAAATAACACAGTCAATCTTAACCGTTTGATTGACGGAAATCAACGGTTAATATTGAGTGTAAGATTTATTATTCTTACACCGATGTAAGTTGATCCTCTCTTATATATATGACTAAAATGTTGTGTTCATGAATATGACTAAAATGTTGGAGGAGACATGAGATTCAAATCAATTGCGACTGAAGATGATAAATGTGTTGAAATGTGGTTGCAGAGCACTATGCGGAAAGAAGAAATTTCAATAATTTCAACGAAAATTAGAATATACCGAAAGAAACAAGGATATCTTGTAATAATGAAGACAAAAAAAATTCTCATTCGTTTCATCATTTGGGACCTTCGATCTCATGTCGAATCCTTGCTTTTAGACATTTTGTATTGAGAAAGTGTGTAAAATATTTTAAACTCAATTTGATAGCATGTATGGTTATGATGTATAACCATTTTCTCCTCTCATTTCTCAATTTTTTTTTTAAATATTTTATGATTATTTCTTCTAATATATTTTTTCTTTCTTTCTTGATAACGTTGCACTGAAAATGTGCTCCCAAAGTGGAACGATCCTTCCATTTCACACTTGTTTTTTTTTGCGTTCAGGCCACAAGGTGAGCGTAAAAAAAGACTCAAGAACGTGAGCTTTGTGACAGAAGTACAGAATGTACGGTGTAGAGTTTGGCAATAAATGAGCTATGCCTCCATGAATCACTCCATTATATTGGCCAAGTTCAATTAGGTGACGGGAAAAACAAAATGGAGAATAATGCATAACAATTAGCATCCTCTCCTGGGTGTTTCCACATAGCCGTGGTGAACCTTGTCTCCAAAGACGTCAGGGTTCATGCTCCAAAAGAACGGTCCCTGTGCCTGCAGCATTGCTGGCCCATGTCGTCTCCTGTCAAAAAATTTGTTTTATTTGAAACTACACTAGTCAGTTTTTTTTTTTTCCCTTTTAAAAAGAATCCTTATTTATCAAAGAAAAAATATGGGGACGTACCCACAAAAGAAAAAGAAAAAAGATGGGGTCGTTCGTAAATATGGTATTTTTTGGGGGGTGGGGGGCTCATTGTTGATATGGA